AATAAATAAATATAAAGAACTTGACATGGTAATTACATTTGTATTACAATGTTATTTATCAAATTACCACAATATCAACATTTGATACAATCACTTCAAAGTCCCTTTTGCTAAAGTATATACTAAGAGTCAAAAGTTTGGATTGTTTTTATTTATGTATCTTCTAGATTTGTAAAAGTTCTTGCAAAAGGCTGCATTTATTTGATAAAAATGCCATTTAAAAAAACAGTAATACTGCTGATTACATGTAATCCGGATTACTTAACCAAATTCCAAATATTAAATACATGTAATTAGATTATTCCAGGCCCCCTGAACATCATTGACTCGCCCGTCATTGACAGAATATTTTTCTGAACTCTTCCCCAGATGTGTGGCTTGACGCAGACCTATTTTTGAGCTCAACAGGCAGTTCATTTGCCCTCAGGGCTTGGTTTTTGCTCTGATATGCATTATCAGCTGTTAAATCTTTTATTAAGATTTGTGTGCCTTTCCAAATCATACCCATTCAACTGAATGTGCCACAGGTTAACTTCACTCGAAGTGTAGTAACATCTACAAGCAATATGAATGCTCCTGAGCTAAATTTCAAGGATATGAATACTTATGCAGTGGAATCATTTAAGTTTTTTATTTTTAATAAATTTGCAAAGATTTTTGTTTTTTGCTTTACCATTATGGTGTATGGAGTGTAGATTGATGTGGAAAAAAGTACTAACCCAGATAGCAAAATGACTCCTGAGCGGATCCGCCCCGGAGTTCCACAACGCAATTTCACAATTAAAAATGCCAACAAAGCAATTAACTACTTTATTAACCTTAATGTTACTGGCAACTGTAAGTTACATATAAAGCATATTTAAACAGTATTCTTGCCGTGTTCAACCGGCCGCAGCTTCACCACTCTGAGGAGGATTTGATTTGAGAGACTGTGTCCATAATGAGTCCGCTAATTGACAGTGCGCTGTCCGGAGGCGGGGCATATTCTGGGCGAATGACCGAACAGAGTCTGACAGTACAGCGGAGCTGCCGATTTGAGGGCGGATCCGCCCCGGAGTCTGTTGCTATCAGGGAAGCAGTTTAACATAAGGCCGCAACATAACAAAATGTGAAAAAAATTAAGGGGTATGCATACTTTCGCAAGGCACTGTATATAGTCTTTGTCATTGATATATATTGCAGTTTGCTTAGTAGTAAGTAACAACAAACACATAACCCAAGTCTTGTAGTCAGTCTCATGAGAGAAAGGAGCTGTGAATGAGGGACATGCTGACTTTCGAAGTGTTATCATGCCACAGCAAATTGCCACTGGCACTTCCTTAGGGTACAGACCGTTTGAAATTGAGTTCATGAATTTCATACATTTTAATGGGTCTGAATGAGGAAAGAAGGCTAAAGTTGTGAAAATGTTATTCACCTCTTGATCCTTAAAAATCTGTCAGCTGTTTAAAGCCGAGCAGCTCTAGCGGATCCGTGTGATCTGTCAGTCTACATAACTGACACTCAAACACTTAAAAAATTATTATTATTTTTTTAAAACTTTTGATCAAAACATGAAAGATTTAAGTACACTTGCAAATTAAATTTGTTATTGTAACTAACTGGAAATTTAAATCCATTCAACAATACATTTTTAGTCACACAATCAAATAATCTGTGTTGTTACAACATAGTATTCTGTCATATTTACAAGGAATATATTATCATACATGGCATACATTTTTATGTTAACTAAACACAAATAAAATTGTAACAATGTAATAAATGTATCTATCTATGTATCTATGTATCTATCTATCTATCTATCTATCTATCTATCTATGAATACCTTAGGGGTGTATCTATCTATGTATCTATGTATCTATGTATCTATCTATCTATCTATCTATCTATCTATGAATACCTTAGGGAAAAAAAAGGTCGTTCTAAGAGGTGTATGCACAAACTATTAAAAAAAGGTTTTAACTAATGGCCACTAATCACAAAAAGGGTGTGAATCTAAACAAGACATTGCTAAAAAATGGTTAATAAATAAATAAATGAATTATTAATCTATTTACATTAGTTTCATAATGATTCATAATAAATGTGGACAATGCCCATAACATAAGAATATATACAATTATGTATAAAACCTGGAATAATACTGATAAAATGCTCTGAAAATGAGTTCTTAACAACAATGCCGGAGATGCAAATTTTTCCTCAGTGGTATTTGCACAAAATTAATTAAACCCCCTAAACTATATATTCTCTATTATTACATCAGTGGAATAACCAACTAGCCGTATTTAAAATGTACATGACAGGAAAGGCACCACCCAGGAAGTTTATGTGCAGAATTGATTGGCTGCAAGACTAGCCAATAGAATAGACTCTTTATTTTTCCTTTACCCAATCAGTAGTTGCCTTTAGCTTTCTTGCCAGTTGATTGCCGCTTAACTCTACGCTTTGTATACAAAACGATAAACCTGATACTCCTCACTGGCACACGATAAGCGCCTCCAGATGACACTGATATCTAATGAATGCGCTGTGGGCGCGTCTCTTTGACGCTTGTGAGTGAACCGGGTGTCACGCGGTAGTATTGTGACTTGCTGTTTACCTTCAGAGCCGACAGCTAACCATACCGTCAGACTTTTAGGAATTTTAAACTAATATTTTAATAACATGTATCCCGAGGACATTGGTAAACACGTCGCGGGCTGAACACAACTAAATGTAGAGCAGTGCTAAGTGTTCAAGAACGGTATGTGTTTATAAATGTTTGTTGTTAGTCTGTTTACTGAGTAAAATAAAGAAGTTGCTGACAGCATGTCAGCGGCCTTTCATGTTGTTATATTGTCGGTTGAAATCTACAAATAAGTCAATAAGGCTAAGAAATACATGTGTCAGTATTTTATTTGGACTCTGTCGTGATTTATTTCCTGAATTTCCATTATTGCGTCATGTATAGTTTTGTGGTATCACCTGCTTTTAAAATAATGGCAGTCGTTTTGTTGTTGTTCTAGGTTTTGATTTTGGTCAGCTGACCACCTCTTGAGAAACAGCATATCAGGCCATGGCTGGCAGGGATGTAAACGAGAGCACTCCTCTTTTGGACAACTCTGTGGCTTCAGCCAGATCGGAGTCAGTGTTCAATGGCAGGAGACTGGCATGTGCTGCCATACTGCTGGCAGAGTCTTTAGAGAGGATGGCCTTCTATGGCATCACCTCAAACCTGGTGCTCTTCCTCAACAGCAGCCCCTTCTATTGGGAGGGCACTTCGGCCAGCCAGGCCCCCTTGATCTTCATGGGTGTCACTTATTTGATATCGCCTTTTGGTGGCTGGCTGGCGGATGCGTGCCTTGGCAAGTTCGCAACCATAGCCTTGAGTTTAGTTCTGTACCTGATCGGGATGCTGTTTTTCCCCTTTGTGGCCAACGACAACACCAGGACCTCTCTGTGTGGAGAAGAGATGGCGTTCCCAGTGCAGCCGGCAGAGTGTTTTCCTGAAAATGGGACTGTGCCCGCCAATGTGACCTGCATGAATCGGCCGCCCTACTGTGGGCCTGCGATATTCAGTGGTCTGGTGCTGGTGGCCGTTGGCGTGGGAGCTGTGAAATCAAACATCACTCCATTCGGGGCAGATCAGGTAATGCAGGGGTTTTCAAAATGGGGTCTGGGGAAGTGTTAGGAAGGGAGCTCTCTGGGTCCGTTTAGATAAAAACAGTGTAAAAATAAATGAATTAAAGAAAATTAATTTAAAAACTAAACGAAGTAACTGTTCATATATAATTTGGATAAAATAAATCAATTTTAACAATTGATGTAAATAATACATCTAACAGTACAGAGTCTAAAAAACATAATGTAACTTTAAAAAAATAAATATTTTCAAAATAATATTTTATGCTTATTTATAATTTTTGTTTCCACAGAGTCTTTATACATTTAAATTTATAGCAGATTTATTTATTTTTTTGCATATTTGGGGGATCTGTGGCATCTAAAAGAGTGAAACCCCCCGATGTAACATAATTCACTAAAACTGAAGAGTTGTCTAAACTTTGAGTAGGTTCTCAGAGGGCACAACCTTGGATTGATTCTCAGAGCAGTATTTTCTACTATGTCTGGCTTTTATGAAACTCTAAATGATATTAAGACCTTTGACATGCTTGCTGGTGTTTGTTCTTTCGGATGCTTTAGGTAAACCCTGGCTGGTGCTGTCTGTAGATACAATGAGTCACTGCTTTTGTAGTTTAGAGAGTTTATTGTGACTTGGTATTGGTTTTCTCACTTTTTTTTTAGGAACACAAAAGAAGAAGTTTTGAGTAAAGTGCTGTTTGCTCTGTCCACTTACTTTGGGGGCTGGTCATTTTAAACTTCAAAAAGGATGCAAAAGTATAATAAAAGTAAACACACCATATTCCGAGAAGGAAGCAAAAGTATTGTAAAAGTCAACATACAACATATTCTAAGTCATTCTGGATGCATGTTATAGCTTTGTGCAACAAAATGTATAATCTTACTGATAATCTTCCTTGCAAGTGGGGCTATAAACTGTTGTGACATATTGTCAATGAATTGCAATGGAGAGTGGATCTATTAGATTTGTAAACATTCTATTTGTACATTTATTGTGAAAAGATGCAAAATGGGGAAAAAAATAGCACAAATCAGACATTGCTGTGTCTCTCATGAATGCACCTATGAGAGATAGATGGTTCATAAACTGAATATAGCTCACAAGTCATATGGAGCACTTTTATAATCCATTTCACATTCACTTCACACTCTTATTCCTCATTCATTTTCAATATAAAATTAACCTTTTGTGTTACACAGAAGATAGTCATACAGGTTTGGAATGAAACAAGAGTGACTAAGTGTGACTGTTATTCTTCAAGTGTAATTTTACCTAACATTGTCATGTCTTAAAAGGAGCTTTAAATTAACAAATGCAATAATAGTTAATTGAGAATTTAAAACACTCAATCTTATAAATCAGTGCTTTATTACTTAAGTATGGGTTTCTGCATTTCAGAAAGTGCTATTGTGGTTCCCTTGGCAACAGCCGTTTTGTGAGGCTTCCTTAAATTCGGACACAACTCTGGGCACTTTCACTTCACTTATTAAATGACAAGGCACATACCACACATTTCTGAGGTACTTTGAGTCTGAATTAGCCATGTGGCCTAAAAAAATGACTTGTGTCATGATCTAAATGCTTAGGCTTTTTGATGAAGTGACTTCTATGGTCACTGCCTAGGTCTGTTTTTCAGATTTGGTTAGAAGAACTACATTGCTATCTGCACAAAATAATGTTCTTTTTAGCAGCATCATATGACCCCTTTAATATGTTGTATTGTTGAGAATTAAATGCTGAAGAAATTCAGTGATGTAGATTGATTCACACCAAGCACAACAAAACATTTCTTACAATGTGCAAAAATATTTGTACAAAAAAAGAATCCTTCCATTTGTCATGCTTTAGCACTCATTAACCACTTTCACCCGATTACATGACCTCTCAGTGACAAGAAACTATACAGTAGCCCAGTACAGTGGAGAATTTCCCTGTTATAAGCAAACTATAAGGAAATAATTTGCTAAATGACTAATTAGAAACCCTAGACTCTTCTAAACGATGCTCCTACGCATAACATGCAAAATGAAACTAACAACTTAGGAAGTAAAACTGACATCTGTCTTTGTTGGTTTATCTGACTGCTTGACAGTTTTTTTTGTTTGTTTTTGTTTTCCCAGTTACCTGGTCTACTGGATTATTTAACAAGTTTTTGGAAGAAAATAAAACCCAAGGCTGATTTTGCAATGTGGATGATTTGGATTAGGCCAGTGTTGATGTCTGTTGACTTGTTGCCTTGTCATATGATCGTCATGTGTTTTTTAGATTCGATTAGAATTAGAATTAACTGCGGGATGTACCATCTGGATGTCATTGTGGGGCATAGATCTCATTGAAACTTTGAGGAAGTGGGGCAATGAACTGAAAATTGGCTTACAATTGACAGTATATTGACACTTTTCCCAAAATTGGTGGATCGATCTCTGATTGTATGACTACAGCTGCATGTTTTATAGGTTTTTGAGAGCAGACATCTCTTTAGAACAGCATGTGCATGCACTTGAGAAGAAACTTCGCGCAAGTTTGTAAATGCATTTAGTAAATTGCAAATCAGTACTTGAATTAAATGAAGACTGTGGGTATTGAATGTTGATGTGCTTATTGATGGTACTCCGTAACCACATGCAAGTCAAAAAAGATACCATGTTTTTCCAGCCGGAAATTATGTTCATGTTGTTGTTATTGCCTGTGTTTGATACTGAACTTGTTATAGGCCTGGTTATTATTATGGATTTAAAAGTGATTTGATTATTAAAATAAGGAGAGTTTTCAGTCAGTGCACTTAAAACTAATAAAGCAAGTGAATAAAAATGAATCAATGATCTTAAAGTTCACACATGTATTTGTGATGTATGTCCTTACAGGTGAAGGATCGAGGTCCAGAGGCAACGCGGCGGTTCTTTAACTGGTTCTACTGGTGCATTAATCTTGGAGCGATCTTCTCGCTGGGTGGAGTAGCCTATATTCAGCAGAACGTTAGCTTCTTTATTGGCTACATCATCCCAGCCGTCTGCCTCGGGGTGTCCCTCATCATCTTTGTTCTGGGCAAAACGGTATTTATAACCAAACCTGCAGACGGCAGTGCCTTCAGCGACATGTTCCGGATCCTGGCCTCGGCCCTCTGTGGACGCGGGCCAAAAGAACCAAGTCTGCTCAGGTGAGGGCCACATTTACTTTACTGAATAAAGAAGTTCACATGAAATTAACCTTGACCTTGTTTATTTTCTTAATACACACTCTTGGTTTTATTTGGCCTCTTTTACAAAACAAATGTTCCACAGAAAATTGGCCGTACGGTTGTCTTTATGCAGCACTTGGAATGTAATTTTTTTTTTTTTCAGGGCTTTAGCTTTATATGTGCAAATAGCAGCATAAACAATAGACCATGAGGATTCACAAATCGTTGCATCGTTATAGCTACTTATTTTTCATTCTTGTTCTGTTCTGAATTGTTTCATTGTTTCATTGTAATAGTTTCATTATATTTACCGCTATTTAATACACATATAAATTAATGTATTTGTTTGCAATTACAAGGTTAACGGGTGTTTTTGGAGTAAGATCAATTTCTCTTTCATGAGATTACTTCCTTTTTTTGGTCAGGTTGCATTTCTTCATACCGTAAACTCTAGGGGCAAGGCTTCTAAACCATGAATTTTTAGGGGCGTGATATTCAATTGACGATTGTTTTCAGCTGCCAAATTTATCAATGTACAATTCATTCATATGATAAGATTGGTGGACTATGAATGTTTCACGAATCACAAGTGAACCCTGTCGTAAGTTTGTGTGCTCGGATCTGCGCTCGTTTCTATGTTAGATTGATAAATGAGGCCCAGTTGGAGTATTGGTTTACTTTTTCACTTCCTAATAATGAAAAGATGCGTTTTAATATAAGTGCAGCAAAAACAAGAGTAAAAAGGATGCACATTAGTTGCAAATTAAGCTTCATCTACATATGAACATCATTTCTTGTTGAACTAAGATGTATTTTTCAGTTGTTGCATATTCAGAAAGTATAAAATATGTAAAGATTATAAATATTTATTCTTAAACTTAAAAATAAATGTGCCTATTAGTCTTTACACTCTACTGTGTTAAATGGTTTTAGTGTGTTAGATTGTAAATTTATGCAGTTCTTTCGTGGGAACCTCCACTCCAGATTCAGATGACTCTATTAGTCTGTAATGTTATCCCTCATCTTCCTCTTTGATCCACCTCTCTTGTCTGTCTCGTATGTTGCGGTGCTATTCATCGTGTCTCTGCGGCATTAGTTACTGTCAAGTCAAGTGCCGTGCCCTCTCTCTAAATCAAAGATCAGGCGCTTCATGAAAAAACGTGACGTTATTATTTTTTAAGTTGGCCAAATCCGTGCCCCTTTCTTTTGTTATCTTTTTTTACTTTCTTTCTCAAACACAGATATACTCCGATATTTCAGTGATGTTTTAATGAATGCTTGTTAAAATCCTTGTTTCCCCCACAAGGCCAAAGCCATCTCTACTGGATGGCGCAAAGGTGACGTACGGTGGGCGATTTTCAGAGGAGAAGGTGGAGGAAGTGAAAGCGCTGGTTAAAATACTTCCTGTTTTCCTGGCACTCATTCCGTACTGGACTGTCTATTTCCAGGTAAGGCTTTTATGAGTGGGTGTGTCAAGCACTACGTCTGTCAGATCTGTTGTGTCAGTTATAGGTCCTTAAAAATAGGGAAATGTACCAACAATGCATTTTTTAACCTTAATTTACTGTAGTTGTGACACAGGATAAATAGGAAATTGCATAGATATTTTATTAGCTTGAAGTCTCAAGGTGTCTCATACAGAAGGAGAGGCATGGTGCTGATGAACGGTGTCGTTGGCATGTCAAATACAAGTGATGGATGTTTATAAGCAGAGATTGTGTCTCTGACATATTAAGGTTTGTGCCATTTGGAGCCTTTATGGGACGGGTGGGTTTAAAGCCCTTGAGCAGACAGGTGCTTCCTTGAAGAACTTTATATGTGCCTTGCTCAAGGTAATACAGAAAGGACAAGCAATAAAGAATGGGGCATCTCTACTACTAAAGCAGCATTCCTTTAACAGCCGGCGTGACCTTACCACAGAAAAACAGAGGTTGTGTGTCAAACCACTCGTAAAGTGTTTTGAAGATGTTTAAATACAGTTTGTCAACATTTCCATGTTTAAATATTTTCAAGGTCTGTCTCTTTCATTTCTGCATTTTACAACCACCTTAGTGAAATATCCAGCCGTTTTTTTTACTCCCCCGGCTGGATATTCCCACAGAACACACTGAGATTATCGGAAAATGCTTGTCTGATCTAATGGACATTAAAGTGTTCAAATAAATGTTTTAATTCATAACAGTTTATTAAGAGAATAAAGAAACAGTTTGTATGAAAGTGCATCTAATATTTGGACACATTACAGGAATCAAACTTAACCTTTAACTCGTGTATTAAAATAATACCAAGAAAAGGTTAGCAAGAATCTCCTTCTGAGGTTTAAAGATAACTGGAAATGAAAATGGTTTGTCAGATTTCCAAAGTTGAGTACAGTAGGTTTGTTTTTTATGAGCTGTTGTTTTAAATTACTTGCTGAAAGTAAGTCATTTCCTTGTTCCACCATTTGCACGATTATGCATATGTGAATGTTTTTAACTTACTGCTCAATATTCTAAGGAGAAAACAACAGGTGCATTTTTTTACTGCTTACTGTTGTATTAATGAGTCAAATAACTACATATGCTGCTGGTTTGTTATGATAGAAAGAGCACAAATCACAGTTTATTCATAGCAATTAAACTATAGCTAAGACTAACAGGACCAATGACTCATAAAATCGACACTGTCCCAACTTTATCAGGATGTCTGGTCACCCTAATTGTTTTCAAGATCTTGACCAGTGGTAACGTAAAAAAACCCTTATATTTATGCTGTAAAATTCTTCTCTCTAAAGGTGCATCGAGTAATTTCCTGCAGTAAATGCAGCTTTAGTAGAAAAGTTAAATTGCTGTGGGACTGTCGGGATAAGGATCATTGTTTCGTAGTCCATCTCACGTGAAAACAAGATTCTCTTCCTCCAATTATGGCGAAAGGTCATCTTTTGAGGCCTTGTCATCCCATATGTTTTGTCTGCTGAGACGCTTGCCAACTGTTAGAAAGGTTATCCGACATTGTTAGTCCTCGGGGCCTTAAATTAAGGTTCGAGTATAGGACATCTCTAACTTTTATTAAAAAAAAATGTATTAAAAATTTAAAAATTACTTTCTGCATGAATAGATATTGCAGAATGTTCTCACAAAGCACCAAACTGCTTTTACTGGCTGAAATATTGCCTCTTGTTATTTTCTACCTCTGCCCTATTTCAAGTTTTAATCAGTAGCAATATTCTGCAACAGTGTCTCTACAAGTGGTAAATGGATCATAGTAGGCTGGTCAGAACCAGTGCAGTGAGTGCAGCCTGCATGTTTATGTGTGCTGTTGTCTTCGCTTGCAGATGCAGACCACATATTTTCTCCAGAGTCTCCATCTGACAATTCCTGGAGCCGATCCCAACTCCACAGACTCCCACCCGGTAAGAGAACCGCTATTTCAGTGCCAATAATGTCAGATCACTTCCAAATTGGCCTGAAAGAAAAATATAATTGCTTTGTTAATGAAGAGTTCAATTATTAAAGCAGTTGGCCTCCTTTTTCGCCTGTGCTCTGGTCACTTTCCTCATCAGTTTTCCCATATTTCTTATTCTGTCGTGCTATTAAGAAGCAACAGTTTCAATGCCACAGATGTTTTCATTAATGATACATACGTTTCTATAAATGAAATATATCTTTGTCAACTGGATTTTTATTGATCATTTTTCTTAACCAGAAACAGTTTGATTAAAGGGGTCATGACATGGATTTTTAAAATGATTTTAATATGTGCCTTGAGGTTTACTTATAATGTTAATAAAGTTTTTTTCACCAAAAAAGAAACAACAAATACATATGTGCAAAAATTATTATTTTCAACCCTCATTCTGACCCTTTTAAGGGGCGTGTCCTTTGAGGCTTGTCAGTAATTGGCCACTGTTATGATTGGCTAACGTCCTTGCATAGGAAACCGTATCAGTGCCCTGACCCCTCACAGTTGCATGTGAGTGTTTTGACAACATGATCAAAATAAAACATTATGAAATCATTTACTTACAGATTGTGATGCAGCTGCAGTCAGATCTAGTACCGCTTCATCTTTCAACAAATGTTTCTTTGTGAACTCTCCTTGACACTTTGCCTCGTTTACGAAACAAAATACTCCTTCAACAAACAATCCTTTGACACTATCTGGGATGCCATTAAAAATAAACCATCCACTTATTCCTTACGCTGGGATCCTTCTGATATCTGTACAAAGATGCGAACGAGCTGTTTAAACCAAACGCGTCAAAGCGAAAGTTCATTCACTCAATTAGTTCTATTGACGACAGACTCATACGCGTGGACTGTGTCAGAAACGCGCATCTGTATATTGTATCCAGTGTAGACAAGATAGCGGCAGTGATTGTAATTTCTATTTGCTTTTGATGCGACGCGACACTCGCATTCAGTGTAATCAAGTGTCAGCCGCTAAGCGACTGAACGCCAGTGGGTGGGGCCTATGTCGATGTCTTGCTTTGGAGGCAGTGTTTATGCAAACGACTGTGCCCGGGTGACATCACCTGGCACCTCGGATCCAAACGAGCCGTTTTCTGAGGGTTATTACTTAAATGCTTTTTTTACTGATGATGAGGACATTTTAAGTTATAATTTTGTCGGATGTATTAAGCATACAAAGACCTCTTCTACATCAAAAGATCAAGGGAAATTTGGTTTCTCATGTCGTGACCCCTTTAACTGTAAGGGTTAACAACAGGTTTATTTTGAATATTTTGGTGCAAGAAACCTTGAATAACATAAGTGAATGTTAAATGCAACAGTGTAAAATAAGGTTCTCAGGTTTAATTTTAGAGCAAACAGGATGCCTGTGGTGATGCCAGGTGCTTGTGATGTTTTGTCTGGCTGTAGAGTAGAGGCTGTTTAGGATACTCTCTGGAGACTCTGGCACGCATGAGCTAGAGAAATCCTTTGAAAACCAGGGTATTAACTTCAAAACCATGACCCTCTCTAATCGCAGATTAGCACCCAGCGCCCGCATTCTCATCTGAACTTGCTGTTTATTTGTTTTTGTGCGAGTGTGCGTGTGGGTGTACGTGTATACGCTCTACTAGGTAAGTGTGTCAGAACCTTCGCTTTGAATTAAATCCCCTCAAAACGGTTTCACAGTGACTAATCCAAAATCACGACTCCGGGGCTGTCTGATCAGCAATAACAATGCAGTCACATGTTGCTCTATGACCATGAAAATGCATGGACACAAATGTAACTGGATGAACAACTTGTGCATTTGTGTGTGTAGTGTACGTGCCATTTCACGGCTGTCTGAAATGGAGTTTTCCAGAATTAGATTCAAAGTCACATGGTAAGGACAGAGGAAGTGCGAAACAACAATGGGGAAGTGAAAAAGATGTAATTGGCTGTGTTAAATAACAGCGCTTGAGAGTGTGACTGCAGGGTCATATTGAAGAGACTGTTGTAAAGCACCTCATGCTCTTTAAATGTAATTTTCCAGAGTACTTTTATAGTGGTTGTGCCATTTTCTGCTAACATTTAAAAATATGACATGATGTAAAAGCGTGTTTATTTTAGATTACTTTTTATAGATGGATAAGCTTGTCTTGACCGGTCAGACGGTCAGAATGTGTAGGCTATGACTTTTTCTTTGATGAATGAATAAACACAGTCCAGCATCTTCAAGCTTTTTGCCTGCCACTAAATTATTAATCAAAGGAGAAGCATTTCTCTTTGGTTTAGAAGAGAAGAAGTGAAAGACACTTTTGTTACAACAAAAACTAACTTGTTGGACACAGTTTTTCTGTAACTAGCCTATACAACAACACTTGTTTTGAAGAAAATATGAGTGCTGCTTGCCTGTGCAAAACTTGTTGCCACATATAATATTTATTTATTTGAAAGAATAGTTTTATGTTTACCAAGGCTGCATTTATTTGATCAAAAATGCTTTAAAACAGCAATATTGTGAAACAATATTACAATTGCAATATTTTAATTATTAATTATTGTTGTAATATTTTTATAATGTTCACAATTTATATTTTTTCCCCCTGTGATGGCAAAGCTCAGTTTACAAATTTTTTATGTTGTTTGGAAACCATAATAATGTTTTTTTTTTTTTTTCAGGATTCTTTGATGAATGTTTGATGAATAGAAACAGCTTTAATATAACTAAGAAATATTTGGTAATATACTGTCACTTTTGATCCATTTACAGATTTTCTGAATTGCTAAAACGCTAAACCCCAATCTCTGAACCAAATTCTCACTATCTTAAACCAGTTTGTCGAATAAAGCTCTCTTTCTGCTAAACCTTAAACACGTTTAGGCAGTTAGGCTCTATTTGCAGATCTCATGAAGTCTTTTTGCAAAACTCTAAACACATTCTCATTTACTTAAACACTAATCACACTGTGATGCATTTGTGCTGTAAAATGCTAAACACAAGCGGCAAAAGTTAAAGGAACACTCCACTATTTTTGAAAATAGGCTCATTTTCCAACTCCCCTAGAGTTAAACAGTTGAGTTTTACTGTTTTCGAATCCATTCAGCTGATCTCCGGGTCTGGCGGTAGCACTTTTAGCTGTAGCTTAGCATAGATCATTGAATCTATGCAGCAGCAGGCGCAATGATATTACGCAGCGCCTGAAATAGTCCCCAGCTAGGTAACTTCCAATAAGCCTATTTTCAGGCGCTGCGTAATATCATTGCGCCTGCTGCACCCATGGTA